CGGATACGCGTTGCGATTTACGGATACACGTTGCGATTTACGGATACGCGTTGCGATTTATGTGTTCGCGTTGCGATTTTCATATTCGCGTTGCGATTCTGGAAAATCGCAATGCGAATTTGTACTATCGCATTGCGATTTTCAAGAATCGCGTTGCGATTGAATTTCAGATATATGAAATTTCAAATCGGATGAATATTCGTAAATATACATCCTAGATAATTACTCTATTTTATCGGGTCAAGTTAGAGAATTTTCACTAAATTTAAAATTAATCCAACCTAAATTTATCCCTAAAAAACCTGACTCAACCTAAACATGATTTTCTTTTTGTAAAAAAACAATATGATAAAACTAAATCATATCAAAATGTTCGAGTCTCATGTTCATCCTCAAATACTAATTTTATTTGTATGTAAATAATTTTTAATTATGATAAAAGTCTTTAAACCCACTAAATCTTGAAATCAAAATCAAAAGTCGAGAAAATTTATCTATTGTCATAATTTTAAGCGAGTTATTAATTTTTAATTATAAAAAAATATAAATATAAAAGATTAAATATGTCAATATATTAAATAATCTTCACTTCAATAATTATATTATCAATTTAATTGTGGTGATCATATTGATAAAATTTTATAATATTAGTGACTAAGTTCATAATTTTTTAGTTTAATGACCAAAATAAAATATACCCCATAATTTGGTGCCAAATACAGTAGTTTACCCTAATATTTCTCATTAAGTCTTTGTAGATAGGAAATGAATACCTGGGTGCAAGATTTTAGTATACATCATTATATTTTTCAAAATACTTTGATATTGAATATATTAATTTATTTTATGGTTTTCTTCTAAATGATGATGATTTTTTTATTTATTTTGAAATTATAAATTATAAATACCAATTGGAATTTTGGAATTGACTACCATATATATATTTTAGTTAACATCTTATCAGTGACATTTTATAATATTATATATTTCTAAAGTGTTATTTAAAAATATTAATTCACAAATGTTACATTGCACTTCCCATAGCATAATTGTATTCTACAATTAGAGCTTAACAACTACACTTGTTTTTTATTATTTTACTTATCCTTTTCATTTATATTTAAAAAAAACAATTGGGTATCTTTTTGTAATATAATGTCACTTTTTAATTTTAAACATCTATTAAAGTATAATAATATTTTCTTTTTGCACTTTGCATGTAATTGAACTTGGACTTCAACTCAAAAAAAATTGACTTGAGACTTTTCCCATGATTTCATGAGACATTATCATAGACATGTGGTGTAGATTTCCCACTTAATAGCTAGTGGCCATTGTTGAAAAGAGGAAAATTTATGCCCATACTCAAATTTTTGTTTTTATTCAAAAATATATATATAATATGTTTTATTTGATAAAAAGTTATTTTAAGAGAAAACATTATAACATGAATTTGATACGAATATTTTAGGGGGGGTTCCCTACATAATATATAACTCTTTTTATAACAGTTTCGATTATAATAAATTTCTTTTGTTCTATCTATGATTTTTATGTTTATAATTTTGTGCGTAAATTTATATATTATATTATTTTCTCTTTTATCTTATTTCATAACAAAATTTTAAAAAATATATATTAAATCATTTTAGTATACATATAACAAACTTTAAGATAAACATACGTGGGTGCATGTACACATTGAAAAGTATAATGAAATGACAACCAAAGGAAAACAAACATAAATCCCACAAGCTAGCTGCCACTCACCACATACACATATATTACTCTCTCATACTAAAGTGGGGTTTAATCTATCTTTTAAAAGTTATTTTTTTAAAAAAAACTTTAATTATGAATTTTGCAAACACTTCAATTATATAATTATATTCATATGATTATTTTGGCAACTGAATTTTTAAAAGTTATAAAATAATCATTAGATTAATTGAATTGTTATAAAATAAAATAATTTATGATGCGTTTTTTCAATATTTTAAGGTAATTACAATATAATAAATGTTCGGAATTTTTTTTAGTTTATTGACAACGCAAATATACACTGCAGACGTAACTGCTTGAATCTATATATTTGAAGAAAATAATATTTTATTTATTGAAATTAGTTAATAAATTAGTTTATAATATATTCATCTTTTATGATATTGGTTAAATAAATTTGTGGTGTCACCCACATTTTGATATTAGCACATGAGATGATGTCCATGATATATTTCTTGATCCACCGTATGTCAATGCCAACCGCACAATATATGACCAAGTCAAAATAGGCTGGTGTATTCATTGTATTATAGAACAATCCCAAGTAGATTATTTTTAATAAGCTAAAGAGGTTAAACATTAACTAATATATAAATTTATTTATATATTACACTTCTAATTACGTCAAGACGGCAGAAAAATACTAATTAACAATCCTAAAACGTTGAAACAAGAAGCAAAGTTGAATTCAATTAACAACTTTTCAATAAGGATTTAAATTTAAATTTATTTAGGGGAAAAAAAGTAAAATTAGTTACTGTTTGATAATTTACGTGTTGGGTACGAAACACAGAGCGTTGACTGTCAAAACGCATCGGCTGCGCGTTGCCGTTTGGCGTTTAGCTAATTTGGATGACTTCTCTAACGTCCGTCTTCTGCTTACGTCTTGCGTTTCTGTACAGCCTGTACTTGTGTTGGATCCCTATTTTGGTATTTTCGCTCTTATTTTTTAAAATTAAAAATAATTATTTGATTCATTGATAATAAAATTTTTAATTAAAATCGTTCAACTTTTTTTTACTATCAATTTATAAATATTGACTAAAAACTAATTATAAAGTGTGGAACATCTTATATTGGTTAATCAACAGTATATTTTAGATTTTATTTTCAGTTTCACTTGAATATTTAATATATTCGAATAAGATTAAAATAACATAAAATTTAAATTGAAAATTCACGTTAGAAGTGTTAATAATTAAGTCAGGTAGCTCAAATGATAATTTGATTTCAGTCTCAAGTTCAAGTAGCTCAATTATATATTATGTCGAGCTCAAGCTAATATTTTAATGTTTTCTCAAATTTAGTATCAAATTCAAATTCTGTATCGAACCCAACTCGAACTAATATTTTAATAACATGAAACATGTTAGATAGAATGAGGGAGATGAAGGGATGCTGGAGAGAGAGTGCACAAGGAAGAAGGTTCGAGCATGGAAGAAGGTACGAGTATGGAAGAAGGGTGGAGCACGGAAGAAGGTTTGAAGGTGATCATATAAGGAAGGCTGGAATAGTTAGAAGGGGTGAGCATTGGTCTTCAAATTTCCTTGGACGTGATTGGGGGGCTCCAGTATTTGTAGACAACGTGAGTAAGAAGGGGTAAGATATACTAAGTGATAGGATTATTATCAACTATATATATGTATATATTTGAAAAATAATAAATAAAAATGATTTGTATTGCAAAAATATAAATTTATTTTATTTTTATCTCATTAATTGTGTGCCTGGACACTAGAAATGAAATCTGTTTTGTATACATTTATTAACTACACTTCTTAAACTCTAATCAAGTGATTAGTAAAATGTATAACACTTGAATTAACAACTAAATTTTTTATCCAACTTAACTTATGTTCACCCCTAATATTAATTAATTCACGTGTTTTGTTTTATATCGTAAGCATGTCTATAGACACCATGAGTAAATACAATAAATTATTATTATTATTATTATTATTATTATTATTATTATTAATGTTCTAATGAAACTTATTAATTTATCTAAGCATGAAAGAAAAGATTTTAATGTTAAGACTTGAATTTTAGTTAGCTTTTATTTTATATGATTCCAAGATAAGTTTAAAATATATATGATTTCATTTTGATGATTACTAAACAAAAAATATTATCTTATATAAAAGAATCTTTGATCCCGATAATTTCGATGGAGAATCCATTATGGATAGGAGCAAACGTCTACAAAGAGGAGCTTCCCTTGCCCTTAGCTCGGCTATGGTTTCCTCGAGGAGCACTTCTCAAGGGAATCATAATCCTCAAAACTGGTGTAAATTAAATACTGATGGTGGTCGGGATGGTATGGTTGGATTGGCTTCATGCGGAGGAGTCATCCGCTCTTGGAGGGGTGAGTGGCTCTTTGGTCTCTCAAGGTCAATCGGAATATGTTGGGTCCTTGACGCTGAACTGTGGGGTGTTCATGAGGGTCTACATCATGCCTGGAATCTTGGCGAGCGAAGACTTGTATTGGAAGTTGACAGTGTTGAGGCTGCCATGATCCTTAACCAGAAAAAGAAAACAGGTTTCTCCTTTATATGATAGAAATGTGGAACTTCTGAATAGAGCTTGGAGTGTGCAAATTCACCATGTCCATCGTGATGCTAATAAAGTTGCGGACAAGCTCGCAAAGTTGATCGCCCTCGAGGATACTGCTGCACATGAATTCTTTGAGCGTCCTTTAGTGGTTTTGCCTTTTCCACAAGCAGATTGTAAGAACCCCGCTAAGCTTTCCATGCTCTTTCCTTTATTTACCAAAAAAAAATATTGACGTATATTTTAATAATAAATAAATTGTTCGTATAATATTGATCGGTTTCAAATGTTATTAAAGGTCAAATATCATAATTTAGTTAGTTGTTAAGGTATCAGTTCAAATTATGTATGAATTTGAAAAAGTTCCTCCAATTCATGTAATTTGAGGAAAGTACCAACTTCAGGTACCAATTTATATAATAATCCAAAAATCTATAATAGTTCCAAAAACTAACGAATGAAAATAAGCTGATGAAACGAAAAACAGCACAGAAACACATGATTCTGCTAAATCTGATCCCTTTCAATTCAATTACCAATGAAGTAACAGACTTGGATCATGCTTCACAATGAAGAAAAGATATATCCTGTTAGGTCAACTTAACTAAAAAAAGTAAAAACCAAACAATGACTTAAAACGAACCAACTTTCCCAGAAATTTTCTTTTGTTTCAATTTAATCCCTCGCCATTATTGTTCCTCACAAGAGCAAAATAACCCAAAACAGCACAAACAGCCGCCAAAAAGTTGCCTTCTTTCAGCAGGGTCTTGAAAACAGACCCGGCGATCTCTCTCGTGATCTTCTTCCCTTCGACCACCAGCGCCTTCTTCGGTTCCCCGAAGAAAGCGAGCAAGACGACCACCGTTATCCACGTCACCAAGGTGGCGGGCACGGCCACGGCCAGAGCCGCCGCCATGGAGAGCAACCCGAAAACCCCGCCGAGGAGCAGGTCATCCGGTGGGTTCTCGGGCTTGGTTTTGGTACCAAGACAGGGTTGATTTGAGGAAGCTCCATGAGGAATCTAAAAGGACGGCGTAAACGAACACGAAGAGGAACACCCATGTTCTTCTTTTGCTCATAATCTTTAGAAACACTGGGTACGATGACGATGATGTGGTCGGAGATTGTTCTTCATGTTCCCGCTCCATGTTTTTTTTTCCTTTATTTTTTTCAATTTGCTTGAGCTTTTTATTTGAGGTGATTTGGGATCGTTGCTGAGATGAAAAGGCAGAGATTTTAGAAGGATCAAATTATGGTTTGGTCCCTCTGTTATGCTTTAATTTGATAGTAATGTATACTATGTATATATATTTCAAAATCTCACTACACAGGAAACTCAAAGATCATACTTTTCAACCACCAAAGGTTTGTCAATCTACACGAAACTGTTCTAGCTTAATTAATTTCAATCGAGGTCTTGAGAATACAATAACATTAAATACTTAAAAGCAAAATTTTTACCGCTTTTGTAATTATATACCCAACTCGATATAATTAATTTATACTTAAATCATTCAAACGGATAGGTGATGAACACTCGTGATTCATAGAAAAATATATATAATCCAAGAAAATGATATGAATGCTTAACTTAGAGTCAAGTCAGATTAAAAAATGTATGATTTTAAAAGATAATGTTGAAGTAGATATGAGCATCACAAATACAAGTTCAAAAACTCCTATCGCAAAAGAAAATCAACCACGGATTGAATCATATGAAATGATGAGTAAGATTTATCTACGACAAATGCATCATTTTTGAAAATCTACGTGAACTTAATAATTATTAAATTCATTAGCAACATGCCCAAAGGGAAAACATTTGAAGCGAATCGCTCTCAATGTTGTCTAGAACGCACTTATTTATGTTGAATCATAGTATTAATAAGTTGAAAAGAGGGATTTTAAAGAATAATATCATGTCAGTTCATTGATATCATAGAAATAATGGACCAAATTATTATTAACTGAAGTACATATACTGTATTCTAGATTTAAGCTTATAAAGTGATCAAAACTAAAATTTTAGCACTTGATAAGACTAAGGAAACGAGTTAGAGGTAATACCAGGCGCAGTAATTATTACGAGTTATTTATGTAAAATAAAAATGTAACTAACATTTAAGGAAGTATTATAAATAGTGGAATGGATTAAATAAGTTTCGGCACGCTTTTATATATTTAGATCATTGCTTGTTAAACTTGTGTATCTTTGGCATGGTAAATCACTACTAAACTCGCACCACCGTAAACAGAAAACTCTTGCGATTTATTTTAATAATATAAGGTGATTAGAATGTAGTGTCTTTAATCAATTGATAACATACACATTCAATTGGTACAACTATTAGAATTTAAAACCTCTTGAAAGACATTCATATTTTTTACTACTAAGACCATACGATGTGTCGAGTAGTAAATACTCATCTCGAATAAGCTTTAACAATGGGGGAGAATATTGGTCAATTTAAACTAAAATTATGGATTAATTTGATTTGATTAAAGTATTTTGATTGGATTTTTTTATTATGAGATTGATTTTGTTATTTATTTCAATAGATTACCCATTTTTAAATACATTTATAAATTATGGTAAACTAAGCTGGTTAAATATTTTTTAAATTTATAATAAATACATTATATATAATATTTAAATTTAATATAAACAGTATTTTTCAATGGATTCGGAACTTATAAATAAAATGTAACGAAATTTCAATAATAGAAAATATATTTACAACATAATACCTTTTTTATTGATATTAATAGCCTATCAACCGTTTTTTTTCCTAAAAAAATAAATAAAGTCAACCCCAAAATTACAAGTAAAAATTTCTGGATTAAGTCAACCCTTAATCTATCCATGACCCCGCCAAAAATATTACCAACCACCTAATCATCAATCGCCACGTAATCAAGGGCCCCACTTTCTTGTCCATTACAGTTCGGTCCCACGTGGTATCCAATACATTGGACAATTTGTATATAAATTTGTGACCAACATTCAAAACCCTACAATTTGACTGGAAAAAAGAGAGAAAATTCTCCCTTTGCAACAAAGGAAGCCGAAAAATATTTTTCCGGTGACCGGAGAAATGACAAAGATGATGGCGATGAGACAGAATTCAGACGAAATCAACAGGTTCCTCGACGGAGCAACGAGTTCCTCTGATATGATGTTTGGTTTTTTGGATGAGAACAACGAAAATTTAATTGATCGTAAAAATGACCGGAAATATGATAATGTTCGTGAGATTGAAATAGAAAAAAAAACATGGTTTTCTGGGAAACTCAAGAACAGATTCTTCTGGTAATATATATAGTTATGTTCTCATTATTTAAATGTCTAATATACCTCATTCTTCTTTTCTTTGAACTTTTGAATTTAATTCATATATTTGTCTAATTCAAAAATTGAAGCCGAAACTATATTTTGAAACTGGAACAATATTGTTGTTAATTGATTTTTGTTAAATTTGAATACCAAACTTTTTTATAATGAATTATGATATATTTAAATTTAACTGCAAGTGGAGATAAAATTTCAAAAGTTCGAAGAATATAGGGACTTTTATATAATTAAACCTTATTTTGTGGTTTAATGTTCTTGTAGGCTACGTTGTACGGTACAACTTCATTAGAAACGAGGATTCAAGCATCTACGAAAGAAGCATTGAGTGAATTAGACTTGATCGGAGTTAAATGAGGTTGCCGAATACCAGTCGCCATGGTTGCCGGAACTTCTAGCAAAGGGAGCTCTCTATCCGTCTCCAGAACAAGGGTTTCAATTGTCACCTATGCAAATCCAAGTGGAAAAGCTCCGTAAAAATCCCCGCCGGAGAACACACGTAAATAGAGGTGCTCAAGAAATCATGGAACACTAAAAAGGGAGATAAAAGGGTCGTGATCGAGTTGAATTTCAAAGCCGAATTCGAAATGGGTAAAGCCAAAGAAAGCTATACTACAACAAGCTGATAGGCCGCCTGCCGGACTTATTCGTCGGAAAGGCCGAGAGGCTCAAGGCGTTGATCAAGATCTTATGTTCCGCCGCGAAAAAATGCATGAAGGAGAAGAAACTGCACTTGGCGCCGTGGAGGAAGCAGAAGTACATGCAAGCCAAGTGGTTGGGGACGTACGTGAGAACGTCGCCGCCTCCGGCATCGCCGTTACCGGTGGGATATTCCGACCGGCCACAGATACCTAAGGTTTCGATGCTAACGTTTGATCTACGGGAGAACTTGCATGGATTGCATTATGCGGGCGCCGTTGAAGTTGTTTGTTGAATTTTAGGTTAATTTGATATTATCACATTTAAATTTAAATTCGTATATTAATTTTGTACAAATTTTTAATTATTTAACTCTTTTAATAAGATTATATTATTTAATTCATAATTGTACGTTGAAGATTTTTAATTTTTGTAAATTAAATTGTTTTTTACTATAATTTTTTCTTCTGCAAAAGAATTGAAAGGATTATTCGAAATTAAACTAAAGATAAAATTTAAAATTTCATTTTAATATGTTTAACATTTAAATCAAGAGTTTTTGTATTATTTAAATCAAGATTTTAATAATGTTAAATTATCATTAATTAATAAGATTGTTTTTACACATTTCTCAAAACACGTTAACCAAGATATTTAGATAACAATCAATATCATCACCATAAATATATATTTTTTAAATTTTAATTTCAAATTTTAGTTCATAACCATTAATGATATCCGTTTATATATATATATTTAATTACATATTTCATATTCAACACATAATTAGATATAAATATATATCGATATCATATATTAAATACATTTGGTTGTTCTCCATGATTTGAACCGGACTAATCGAGCTTGTAATAGTGTCAGCAATATGTTTTCCATGATTTGAACCGGACTAATCGAGCTTGTAATAGTGTCAGCAAAGATCCGCCACTAAAGCTTTTGCCTCGTTCATTTGGTTGTTCTCCACGTACGACGTCGACAATGTAAAGCTGTTCTGTTGGGATTTTGAACCGTCGTTGAAACACTGTTGGCGTTTATCGTCCGCCTTGGAAAGAGGATGCGAGTCTTTTTGTCTCTATATAGACAAGCGTCGTTGCCCACTCTTTTCCCTAACAAACTTGTACTTTGTACCGACGTTTGCAAGGCTACTTGTTTTAAACACATCCTCCGTGTTTCGGCCACGCTCCTTTGTTTCTGTTTCACTTAAAGCCAATGGCGCACAGTTTCTCTAAGTCCCTGTACTCTTTGTACATTTGGATTCTAATCCTCTTGTATTTATTTTTAGAAATTTAAGCTCTCATATTTTCTCCATCCACAATACTTGAAGCCGAAACCTCGATTGCGAGCATCGAGCTCCTTATATTGCATAAAGAATGAAAAGTCGGAAGTGGAAAAGAAGCCACATAGATTGCATTAACTGGTACTTGAGCAGTAACGAGAGCAACTGTCCCTAAAAACAATCTAAACAGAACTTTCATCCCACAATTACGATCCGGAATTAGTTATGGCTTGATCGGATATTGTATCACACTGACGAGATAGGTGAGAGATTACGTTTCAAGCATTTCCAAGCTTCTCAACCCCATAAAACTACTTCCTTTGCATCTTGAATCTAGACACCGGCTTTGAAGGTTTTGAATGAGAAGACTGCAGAGGACATTAATATTGCAATAAGGATTTTAAGTTGGTGAATGCACTACTTAATTGCTACACACAAAAAATGTGCAAGCACAATACCTGTGATGTAGCCGTATTTTGTTCCGGTATTTTTTTCTCTAAATTCTCAGTATGCTCAATGATAGAACCCATAAAAGCCTGCACAAAGAGTCGGTAAAATCTCAGTATGCATCATGCTCATGACAAAGTAACCAACACGTTAGAGGCAGTATACCTTGGAACTATCAAATTCAGCTTTTGTGGTCTGTACAGGTTTCTGTAACACAAAATCGGAGTTAAAAGATGGTTAGCAGCCCTATCAGTGGTGATTGTGCATTTATTAATACAATTTCGAGAAGGAAAGGTTCAAAATAGGATCATTTATGTTATCTAGATATCAATTCCGAAATAAACATAAATGGTAATATGTTGATCTTGTTATTTGTCCTTCTCCCAAAGACCAGCACTACAAAGACAAGTTTTTAAGTGATGCTGTTGTAAAAATACTACAGAGCAAGGTTTGAAGAGATTCAATTGTAAGAGCAGAGTTCAAATACAATCTACATATACCTCATTTCTTGATGAATCATGAACATTATGCTTCAAACTCGCCTTTTCGGAAGGCACAGATGCATTTACGGGAGGATTTAACATCTTTGTGTCTTGATGTATGATCCGACTGTGTGATATTTCACCTGAATAAGAAAAAATCAAGGAATTGTCTCATCTATAAATCAAACTTGAAATGATATCCAGATGCGTAAACGAGAAACATTCACCAACATAGTTACCTTTGGTAACAGGTGTTGTCAATCCTGTACACTGCATTTGAAATATACAAAAATCAGCAACTTAAAAAAACAAAAATTAGTTCAGGTGAAAGACAAAGATTGTACACACAGATTTAATCGCTTACAGCTAATTGATTAGTTAAATCTTGATGATTATACTTAGTAGACATCTCTTCATTCAATGGATCTTTGCCTCTGGACTGTTGTAGCCGTTTCTTCGGCTGAGACTGATACATCCATTTCATTAGTGACAATGAGATCATTCAACATACAACTGTATTAACAGGTAAAAAGCACCAAGTCCGAACATTACCTCTAAATATCTTTGACCATGATCAAGAGAACTGTAACCTTCATCTTTTTTCCTGTGAAAAGCAGCTTCAGTTAGCTCATCTTCATCACCATCAGTTTCAGTAGCATTAGCATTAGCATCCTCATCTTCATCACTCTCTCCATCATCTTCAGCTGCAAGTTCTTACTTCTCAAGTTCTTCCAACCTTGACATTAGACGGGCATATCCATCATCCTCAGATTCACTCACTTTATTATCTGCTTCAGCGACATTAGGGGATTCTAGTCCCACTGGTCCTGAAAAGAAAATATTTTGTCCAACTTATAATCTTTAACTTCATTAAATAGCAATAACCATTTCATTGTAATCAATTAAATGAACTGCATGATAATGAGTACCTTGGCAATAAAGAATCTAGAAAAGCAAGAACAAGACGTTATGCAACATGTTAAACAGATGATTGAGTGCTTACTGCATTAACGTGATGTTGAAAGACACTGGCACTCCAACTAGCTTTTTCATAAAGCATAATTCAGAATCAGGTGGCCAAAGTATCATCTTTTGTAATCTAAGTAGACTACAATGTTTCATCAAATTCCTAATGAACAAAATAAGGCACAAGAACATGCCTGATTGAGATACCCTTTCGGTAGAATCGTCCTCCTCGTACTCTCTAATCTCCACAAGATCCTCCTGTAACAACAAAACCATAGTAAACAGGTAAAGACCAAATCCCCAAATTAACTAAAGCATTAACAAAACAAGAGGCAAATTGGGGAAAACTTACAGCAACTTCAGAAGCAGTGGAATCGAAAAATGAAGCCAAAGCTTCAAGATCCTGCATCTCGGCCTTCAATGCATCCACTTTAGAAATCAATGATTTCCCTCTTCTCTTTAGAATTTCAACAGTTTGTTTAGCTGTTCTGTCAGCATAGTAACTTTCCCCTAGTAGAACCTACAATGAGTTCAATATATTAATTGAACATACCAAAACTTCACTTACGTCTCGAATACTAGATATTCAAAACCGACTCAACACCGGATTTACCAGGTCGATACGATTATCGGATGCTGGAGTGTGTCGGACCAAAAGAAATGCCCAAAAGTTTCAAACTTATATAAAGAAATAAGTTCCTAATTTAGCGTAAAACAAAAAGCATTATACCAGAAACTCGTTCGTGTGAATCAAACGACCAGGAAAAAACGCCGCTTTCCCGAACGGAACCTGCAAAAACGCAAACTTTTTTTAATTTAAGCTCATAAATTGAAAGGAAAAGAATTTAATATATATACACAAAAGTAAAATCGTTTGATTATAAATTGATATGCTTACCATAATATCGTGGTGGAGTTCGTCGGGGAGCTTTTGCACGAGGTTGATGAGGGAGGTGTTATTGGCGACGAATTCTTTCAATTGATTCATTTCATTCTGCTTCTCTGAAAGTTTCTCTTCGACCATCTTTGCCGCCTTCTGCACCTCCTCCGATGGGAACATCGACGACAGCGACGTCACAGCACCTTTCACTTCTGGGTTTCCCATTTCAATTTTCTTTTTTGAAAACTTTTGAACAGTAGGAGGTCAAATGAGCAAGAACGTGGCTGCGACTCGTGTTATTACTTCTTTTGAGTTACTTGGAGGAACAAGAGAGCGGCTTAAGGACCTTTCTAGAATATTTAGATGACTATTAAATTTAGGGTTAAATTAGTTAAAATTTTAAATTTTAATATTAAATTAATTATTTTTTATTAATTTTAATTATTAAATTTCAATAAATTTCTAAGATAATATTGTCACGTGTTAGAATACAATTTTATTATATGAAATTTATATATGTTTTTATAAATATATTTTTAAAAATCCTAAAATAATTTTAAGAATTAATAAAATATTTTAAAATACTATGATGTGATATGTAACATTAACTAATCTAAAAATATTAAATTTAATAATTAAAAATGGTTAATGGGATTAATTGATAAGATTTCAAAATATAGAAATTTGATGTAAAAAAATTTAAAAATTTAATTAATTTTGTTAAAAAATGTGAAGACTTCTAATATCTGTAACCTATATTAAATGTAATCTTTTATATTTAGATTAAATTTTATCTCCATCTTTTAAAGTGTCATAAAAATATTAATTAAAACATCATATGCTAAATTATATGAAAAATAAAATAGTAATATAATGATTCTATAATAAAAACAAACATAAAAGAATAGAGTTAAATTTATTTTTTAAAGATTTATACATTATTTATATTTGAAGCACTCAATATAAATTCTCACTTAATCAGTAAAACATACAATTATACACTATTCACATATGGATTATACAATCTATGATTTTAATTTTAAAGTTTAATTCTTGATCCTTAAACTATATTAATTTTTTTACTTTAGTACATGAACCTTTTTTCCCTTATTTTTGATACCTAAATCATCATCTCCGTCTAAGTTTAGGGGAAAAAATTATTAAAATAGGTAGGAAATGATAACTTAGGTATTACGGTAAGAGACAAAAATAGAAAAACAGATATAGTTCAGGGATCAAAAACGAAAAGAGGACCTAAATTTAAAGAGAGACTTCATGAACCATGCTGCACCCTATACAAATCCTTTACGCATTGCCGGGAGCCAGATAAGGTGACAGAAGTGGTGTCGCCGCTGCCGGCACCATGGCTGGTGGAATCGCATTCGAACCGCCACTACCACCGCCGCCACAGTGGTAATGTAAACAATCCACTGGATGTTCAAGCGCCAATTCACAATCTTTCTCACTCCTCTGTTTTGGCTTCTCCGGCAAACAGTTCAGACGATCATCGAAAGCAATACCGTTGGAGCTCAAGTTCCCACAAATCCCTTCTTCCTCGCAAAAGAAGTTATAAGAAAACGTAAAGTTGACCAAGTTGGGCAAAACACAAACGCCCATAGGAACAATGCCACTCATCATGTTGTGAGCCAAATTCAGCTGCTCCAAGTGAGCTAACCCGACAATGCTATAAGGAATCGGACCGACCAAGTTATTATGGCTGACGTCCAACACTTTCAGCTTGTACAGATACCCGACTTCCGGTGGCAAACAGCGGGAGACGCTCGTGTTGATCAACAGGAGCTCTTCCAAAGTGTTCGCGAAGTTCGATATGCTTGGCGGGAGACAACCGCCGAGCTTATTGTTCGCGAACACGATGACCGAGGCCGTGCTCTTGACAAAGCTTGGAGGTACAACGTTGGAGAACCAATTGTTGTTGATAAATATGGCATCGAGGTTCTTAGTGAAGAGTTGAGGCGGCAACGACCCTTCGAACTCGTTGTAACGGAGGTCGAGATATTTTAGCGACGGGAGGGAGAGCACGACGGTCGGAAAGGGGCCGACAAATCGGTTGTTGCTGAGGTCGAGCTCGAAGAGGAGGGAGAGGTTGGATAATGTTTGCGGGAGGATGCCGCAGAATCGGTTGCTGTTGAGGTGGATGAGTGCGAGGTCGGAGAGGAGGCCGAGTTCGTCGGGGAGGTACCCGGCTATGTCGACGCCGTTGAGGTCGATTCCGGTGACGACTTTGGTTTTGTTATCGTAATGGGAAGGGGAGCAATAAATGCCATTGTATTTGCACACGTTGGGGCCTATCCAATTAGTGGTGAAGTTATGGGGGTCTGAGTAGATGACTTTTTTGAAAGCTTGAAGTGCAATGTAAGCTTGTTGGAGTTTGGGGTTTGGGGGCGGGGGTTGGTGGTGGTGCTGGCGGTGATGATGGGAGGCGGCGGAGGAGGAAGAGAGGTGGAGGATGAGAATGAGAATGAGTAAGGCAAGCGAAATAATGAATGAAGTTGAAGCCATTGTTTTGTTTTGGTGGATGCTTTGTTAATTGTACTTGGTTTTTATGTAGAGAAAAACTCTTTCGTTTTCATGGCAAATATGCTCCCGTCTTATGTTTAATTATGATCTATGAGTTGGTTTTAGGTCGGTCGATTCCTCATTTGAAATTTTAAAAATTAGAGATTATAAATTATATTAAATAATTAAGTTTATCGTTAAATCTTTATGATAATGCACACACATATCTTGCAGACTCAACTATTTAAATTCAAATTTTTTAAGAAGAATAATATTTATTTTTGAATTAAAGTTAATTTCATTTTTTTGGATCATTTGAATTTGATGTTGAAATATTTTAAATTATTTTATTTAAATATTTATTTTTATAATAAATCAATTCATATCGAATCAAATTTTGATATTTAAATCAAAATAGGGGTGTATATGCATTCGAAAGTAAACATTTACTTGGGTTTGTGGATGAGGACATCCCAACCCTCTTTTATAGGGACAGTTAACCATCACAATCTGGCCTTCGAAAAAAGATAGGATTTTGCATCACTCAAAACTGATTTTTTCAAGCTTCCATCGGGTCGTAAGTTCATGAAATGTCGAGTCTTGTCTGCCACTAATGCTTGACCAAAACATTAGGGTTTATATCCGTATGATATCTGAATTTACTATCTATAAAAATAAAATAAATTCATCAAATACTTTGATATTGTTATCTGCAAATGCATCGTTACATAGCATAATGGAAGTGAAATATGCTATTACGTTGCGATCACGAATCGAGCAGCTTTAACACAAAAACAATGAGGATATCATTGCAGGGGAATAAATACTTGTCTCCTTCCATTCCATGAAGTTCTTGGCAGTTGTTAGAAGTGGAGAAGAAAAAGGACAGCTTTAGACCACCTGAGGAAAGATAACATTGCTTCCAACCAAAGGGATTATCATAAAAAAAAAAACATGTTTTTCAGTCAAATTTCCATCATGTTTTTGGCTTCTAACATGCTTAGCCGACATTGGATGTACTTTTGTACGTTAATGTTGAACTCTACGATTTTTTATTGATTTTTTTAAATATAAGATTTTTTTACCGATAAATGTAAAAAAGATTTCATGAAAGTAAATAAAACTACAAAATTATTATTAAGTATACATGGTTGTATGTATAAAGGATTTTTTTCTCCGGAGAAAACTATTTTAGATATTACTGAATTTTATTCACTTACTCGATTATCATTGAACTTTTAATTTAATAATTATAATACTAAATTTCAGTTTTACATTCAATTATATCATCCCACCGTTAAGTCGGTATCAAGACGATAACATGACTAACGATTGTTGACGTGATTGGTCAAACCAAAATGATATCATTTTGGTGCAATTGTTCTCATGCCTAAAACTAAATCATTTTAAACCCTTAACTTTTTTACCCAAGATATGAGAGTGTGAAAGCCAAAATACGCCAAGCTGCATCAACCACAAATCCTCATTTTTTTTTCCTCCCAATTTATTTCTTCACAAAGCGGGCTGCATTACAAACGTTTCGAATCAAGCCAAAAGAATTCGAGTCATATTTCAACTAATTAAAATAAATATAGTTTAAATATTATCTTCTGCAATGTATTATTCTTAAAATAATTAAAATTGAGTTGGGACAATGGATTTCAAAAATTTTAAGTGTCATTCAACTCAATACATGAAAACCTTAATCGATAATAATGTATGATGTAATATTTAACACAACATGCTTATTTTAGTTCAAAATTTTAATATTTGTACCCTACCATGAATCTTAAATTTTAGCTTAAACCATAGAACCCTAAACCTTAAAATAGACAAACTTATTTACATAGCATGTGCATATAAAATAATTTTCCTTAATTTAATTAGTTGAAATGTATGTGTTTTCATTAAACAATTAGTGGAATTGGATTATAAAAAGAAATTATTTTTGAAGCAATCATAATTATTTTGATTAATTTAATCTATTTTCGATTAACTGACGTTTTAATTAAGAAAATGATGACAAACTTTCATCATGCGACAATCATCTAAATTTCATAGATAACACCAAATGCATATGTTTTCATTCCACATAAAACTTCATATAGTTCCATTATGTGAGTTCAAAAATTGTACATTTGTACATAGGTTCACAAGGGGTTCAAAAGTTTTTGAACAGTGGTGACGGGCGTCCCGAAACCGAAAAATCACCTCATAAGAGTGGCCGGACTGGAAGTCGGAGCCGTGAACGAACCGATCCGTTTCTTCCTATCTATTCTTTGGAGAACTCGTAGACGTCATGATTTCGGTTTTGTTGTTTCCTTGGAAGACCTGGCCAAATCGTACACCGTCAAAGTCATGAACACAACACGAATATACAAATCATACGAATACATGATACGATGCAGCAAATGCCAAATTTTTTTCTTACTTTTGTGGGCAGAAAGGATGATCAAACTTGGGAACAGGCCTAGCATGGGGAACCATTGTCCTCCTTAGTTGCTTCAATGCTTTCTCTTCCTCAATCTGTCAATTTAATAACATTTTAGCTTTAATTCTCACAACATACTATAAGACGGGAACTATAATTGATAACACAAGTTTAGGACAAAGAATTCGAAATCTTACCATTCTTGCAACCTCACTTTCTTCTCTGTATCTCTTGTAAACCGTTTCTTTCTCTTTAATCTGAAACAAAAAGTCATTATAAGAAATGCTTGTTGAATGAAAATGTAATAAGCTTCACATGAG